CGTAAAGATTTATGTTGGCAGTAACAAAATAGATGGAGAGACGATCAACAGATGGCACTCCAGTAAAGCTTTGGAATACCGTTGTCCTAGTGAAGAATGTAGAGTGGAAATTGGAAACTGGAGGCGTTGCAAGAAGAATCGAATATCGCTGGACCGATGAGACATTAGAGGTTAAGCTAAGTTCCAAGAGAGAATAAACAGCTCGTAAGAAGACCTCCTGGGGAATGACAGGATCATCCGCAGAGAGTCGCTAGATGAAGATGAATGGAAACGTAGAAGACTATGAGAAGTCTTGGAGAGGCCATCATTCAAGAGTAAATCGACAGGAGCTGATGATGATATCATAAGTATGACCTTATGCTGATCGCGGCAGAAGTTTCAGAGGGTGATTTGCCTCACTCTACTTCACTGGTCAATGATTATACCGATAATCGTCAAGTTTCTGTCACGGCACCAGGTTTTCCTTTGCATTACATCACGGTACGGTAATTCAAGCGGTAAATGCAGATTTGAAAAACGGAAGGCTAGTTGGAGGTACACATATGAGAGAATGGTACAACAAATATTCGGTGAAACAATAGCAGATTAACCTACATAACAACTGAATACAATAAGCATTTAACTCATTCACTGAAGGTCATACTGATAACGGCTTAGAATCAGCTAAGAATATTAATAATGTTTTTTGAAAAGGACTGTAATGTGAGAAACGAACCACTTTTTAATTTAAATTATTGTTTTTTTGTGTTGATGAAGAGCCAACTGGAAGATTATGATTATGGCACATTATAGCCATTTAAACGTTTCGAATATTGACACCATCGACACGTATGGTGAGTGCATGTCGATCGAAGTAAAGCGTGCATTCCAAGGCCAAAAGGATTAATCGCATTTCTTCATAGTTACTATCATACGCTTGAACACCTGTCAAAATATGGCTATAAAAACGGTATAATTAAACGGAACAACACGCAACCACTACCCCACCTTGAAGAGGATCCATAAAGTACAGACAGAAGCATAGGCGCTTGTTCATCGCCTAACGGACTAAGAGCTTCGCATATTGTTTTAATAAACTATTTTATGACGTCGTTGTCAATACAGAAACAAAATACATCATTTTCATAAAGTCTAAGCCTCGAACCATTTTGAAAAACAAGCTGCAGTATTCTTACGATGACATGTTTGTTCAAACAGATGTGTTGTGAAGAAGCAAATACAGACCACAATA